CTCCCGGCAGCCCAGCTCCAGGTTGAGCTGTTGTTCAGCATCTTAGCTGTAGAGGGCAGTGTCACTAGCCCTCATATATGGGATCCGAACCGGGGCCCTCTGGCATCCCAAGCGAGTTCTTAACCATCGCGCCACTCGGCCGGCCCTGTTTTGTTTCGTTCTTAATCACGTATGGGTGTTGCATTTTGTCAGAGGCTTTTCTGTGTGGATTGATATGATCACGTGATTTTTCTTCTTTAGCCTGTTAATATGGTAGATTACATGGATTGATTTTTGAATATTGAACCAGCCTTGCATCCCTGGAATAAACCTTACTTGGTCATGGTGTATCATTCTTTTCATATTTTGTTGAATTTGGTTAGCTAATATTTTGTGAAGGAGTTTTGCATCTGTACTCACAGGGTATGTTAACTTGTAGTTATCTTTTTTGACACCATGTGCAGGTGTCAGGGAGACTTTAGGCTCTGGAATGCCGGGGGAGATCTGGCTGAAGATGGGGACTTGGAGGTCCTCAGGTGGTTGTTGGTGTATTTAGAATTCTGACCCTGGATAAGAGTGCAGGAGGGGAAGGGCAGCTGTCCCTGTGGCCACTGTGTCCCTGAGATAGAGTGAGACTGGGGGCGAGCATGCGGGTTGCCAGCCAGAAAGCATCCAGGGGAGGAAGACACTCAGCTGCATCTCCAAGATCATGTCCTGTGAGGCCTGAGGGCTAACCCTCACACAGCCGGTCGGAGGTCACTGGGGAGGCATTTGAGCAGTGGCGTGCCTTCCGGAGAGAGTGGGGGGGTGGCAGAGATGCGAGGGGCATGCCCCCTGCGTAGGGGGCGCTCTGAAATGGAAGCAAGCTCGGGGGACAGTCTTAGCACATGTCACCCCTGGGAGGGACCCAACCCAGATAAGAAATCAGCTGGTGGAGGAAGAGAGAGGCCTGTAAGCCATGGCCTTGGTAGCCCCAGGCTGGCCTCAACTGCTATTTTTCAAAATAGATATAATTTTTTAATCTTTTAGCAAAGACGTTATTCTTTAGAGCAGTTGTAGGTTCACAGCATAACTGAGCGGAAAGTACAGAGGTTTCCCATACACCCCCTGTTCCCACAGGCATGGCCTCTCCCATAGTCAGCATCTCCACCAGCGTGACGCATTTATTATAGTTGATGAACCTACAGTGACATGTCATTATCACCCAACATCTGTAGTTCACATTAGGGTCGCTTTTGGTGTTGAACATTCTACGGGTTTGGACAGAAGTATCGTGACATATGTCCATCACTATAATATCATACAGAATAGTTTCACTGCCTTAAAAACCCTCCGTGCTCTGCCTGTTCATCTCGCCTTCCCCTTACCAGGAGGACACCTCACATCTCCCCCCACGTCCTGGATGTGGCCCCGTCAGCACCAGGCTTATAGCAGAGGCTCCCACTGCCAAGGTGGCTGAAAACAAAAACAAGCCACAAACAGCTGGCACTCTGGAAAAGCCAGAACGAGAAACGCCGGGCAGTAAACAAAGAGCAGAGTCACAGGGCGGCTGGGTCCTGGGGGGGGCTGCCCACGGAGGCCACCAGCGCCTGACTCAGCGCGGAGGAGACAGACAGAGAAGGGACGGAAGGGTGGGCAATGTCGAATCTGGAATCGGACACTGGTGCCTGAGCTGTGGAGGCCAAGGGCCCTGCCCACCGGAACCGGAGCCAAGGGGACCCGCACAGGAGACCCGGGAGAAACGTGCCACCAGACCTGCTGTGGGCTGCCTGTGCCGGGGCAGCTAGCCTCAGGCCCTGATGGGCCTGGCCAGCCCACCTGGCCCCAAGCTGCATCCCTGCCCAGGCTCCTCCCGGGCCCGCCCCAGGCAGGGGCGAGACATGCTTGTTGAGTGGACAAGAGGACGAGCCCTCGCCCAGCCAGGGACAAGGCAGCCAGCCCAGGTAATGCTGAGGGCCTACAGCTGGGGAACGCGACATTTTTGAGGACAGGGGCAGAACCCTTGACAGTGCAAGGGCAGAAAATATGTGGGGACTTTCAAGATCAAAGGGTCTCTGGGGAGCACCCCTGTACCGGCATCCTCAGCCCCTTCCCCAGCCCCATGGCCCTGAGCTCCAGGACAGACCCTGGCCACTCGTTGACGGCTGGGTGTCTGGGGGCTGGGACCCTGGCCCTGCAGGTCATGGAATCCGGCACCGAGACCAGAGTTCTCTGGGGACATGCCTTCCAGACCGTCCCCACATACTCCTGTCCTGCTGAATGTGAGAGAACAACAGAGAAGTGTCTCCTGCAGATTACGTGTGAGGGGGGAGGAGTGGAAACCCCCCGGGTGTCCCTCAATGGAGACAGCTTAGTGGCCAGACATACCTCTCCATAGGTGATGGATGGACCACGTGCAGCGACCTGCACAGTGTGTGTTATATGCTGCAAGTTCAATTACTGTGAAGGAGAAAAAAAAGAAAAAAGAAAACGTCTCCATCTGAAAGGATACATGACAGGTATAAGGCCCGGGGCAGCGGTGGGTGGTGAGGTGAGGGTCTCCCTGTTTAATCAGCTAGTTCAAAAACGGTTTGAATTTGAATCTTAATAATATGCATATGTATTCA